GGCCTAAGTCTTGCCATGCATCATACATAAGTAATAACAGTAGACAATAAATATGTCCCGAGCAGCGTTTTCCGACGGTGGGCGGAAAGAACAGACACAGACATTGATTGTCGATAAGGAGTTTGATTCAGTTTTCGAATTCAGGCATGCAATTCTAGCAGTATGCAAGTTTAGGCATATCACAGAGGCAAATGCATGGCCAATTAGTCGATGCTGTCTGGATGCTCGCGTGGGATGGACAGCTGGCGCCGCCCATGGAAGCGAGTGACAAGCCATGTTGGAGGTTTTGCGGTGTAATTCTGGGTATGTCGAAAAAGGAAAGCCGGCCTACGGAGGAACAGCTTGGGTTCCACCCGAAGAATCTTACAAGGAGAATATTACCCGAGTCCTCCCTAAAATCGGAGGTTCAGTATTTTTCATGCGCAGAGTGAGGTCAACTCAAAGGTCCAACTCAAGACGCTTCTTTCCCCGTCCGTTTTTGAGATAGACTACACTCACCCATTACTCATCTCCATTGCTTGCCAATTTCTGCAAGTCATTCACCAACGTATGTATATATGTATAGTGCACACCAAGAGTTTTACTCCAAATCACATTACTCACAAATACAGATCCGCTGCTTCTATACATTGACTGTTATGAATAGTAGTAAACAGAAATGGACAAGTTTAAGGTGCTTACACTCATCAATTTTGTAATTGGATCGGCGGCGTTGTCCTTCCAAGTCGGCGTCTTGTACCCATGGCACCACCAGTTGGACGGCGACTTCAAGGACTTGGAGAAAAAACACGAGAGCCGCTTGCAATTGTTCCATGATCGCAAATGGGAGAAGCTAATGGAGATTGACTCTAAAATGGAGCAGTTGCTGAAGCAGTTGGGCGAGGCGGACAACAGTTCCCAGAGAATCGCATTGATTTCTCAAAGTCATCCATGATGCATATGATTACAGTCAACGGGTGACAGACAAATTGGCAAAATAAACAGCAATGGTCAAAAATCGAATTTGCCAGGTCATCCAGGTCGCGCTGCGTTCGCCCTCTTTCAACAACTTCGGCAAGTCTCTCTATCCTTCGCCTTTCCTACCCTCAATTCTTTTTGCACACATCCTACCCGCCGTCAGATTTCTGTGCTTCCGGGCACATATCATATCCCCTCTGCCTTTGTCTTAGCACGATTTTGTTTCTTTTTTTGCTGTTTTTTTTTCCTACACCCGTTAGCTAAACTTTTTTGCTACAGCATTACAAGCTCTCACATCAAACGCTCCGTCATTTCTCCCCTTCACATTGCCCTCACGCGTCTCATTTCGTGCAAGGTACGCGGATTGCATTTACGCACAACTGTGCATAGCTAGTGCCTTTTGATTGGTTGTCTGAAAATTAGTCCGAGTCCTAAGCCTCTTGGCGTGACACACACTGCCCGAAGGACTGTCGATTTTTGTGCTTGTTGATACACTGCACACCAAGGTTGTTTCTCTCTGCTCTTTGTCGCGTCTAATTTTCTTTGTCCATCTGTCCATCTGTTTCTTGACACACCATAATCATAGTTTTGCTCCTAGTTATTTGTGGTGTGATTTGGAGCGAGTCTTTGTGGTCCTGCATTCGGACCATTTCCACAAAAACAATCGCC